TTGCGCGACTCGGACTATGGATATTGATATCGTACCGCGGTGTATAGAAAGGCGCTCGTCTTGCGTGGATCGTGCGGCAAGGCCTATAGGTGATGCTGTCAAAGACCCGAAAAGCGGAGGTCAACTGACTAAAAGTGAGAATCGGGTGCTAGAATGACAACTGCTCACCTTTTTCTGGGATGGGACAATGGCAAAAGTGATCGTCGACGTCGTATCGAAATATGCGTCTGCAGTGAATCATTGTTCCAAGCAAAAAAGCAAGCGATCAAGTTCCGATTGAAGTGCTCAGAGGGTACGAAGCAACTGGCATTACTTATTTGGTGTCAAAACAGAGACTGACCTTGCTGCCGGGTCAGAGAAAGGAACAGCAAAAGAAAAGGAGGGAGGGAGAAGGGGGAATCCGGGCGGTCAAAATATCTTGCATCCAACGGGAATCGAACCCGTGTCGCCCGCAAGTTCATTGCGCGATGCGCTAATTGGCAAGCGAGCAGTATACCACTAACCCATAGATGCTCTGTGCGGTTGTTCCTATTTTGTCATATATATAGAGTACACTATGCGCATGAGACATTGCTGGACTTTGCCAACGCCCACACCCACAATTATTCACGTCACTAGACCTAAATGCGCGTGTATCGTGGCTATACCGCTTATGCTCGTGATTTGACAGGTGGAAAGAAAACAGCCTTTGGCTCCGTGCGCACAGTGCCTTCAACGGGTATGTCAAGCTGCGCAGTCCACTGCAAACAAATCAAGTCCTCATCTCTCTCCTCTAACGTGGGCCACTGAACTCACTTTCGAGCGCCTTGCAACCTTTCAAAAGTAGCATGTCATGGCCATCCGGGGACAATGCAATGTTGTGGACGCTGCGTTTGATCTTCGGATGGGAATAGCGCGTTACCGACCTGCATCTTCATTAGCGGCCTTGCATCTTCTCATCCACTGGGAGATTGTTCACAGAAGCGACATGCTAGTAGCCACGTGGTCGGCGACAAGTCAAGGAGAAGTCACCACTGCTGGCAAAACAGCTTTTGATTGTTGTGTTTCAGGTACAAGGCGTTTCTGGCCACATTTGCGTGATCCAAAACGGACAACGACTCTGCTGAGGCACTTGTGAATGTGAGAAGGACAACATGCGATCAGAAAGCACACAGAAGCTCGCGGCAATGTCATCGATTAGCGAACACATTAAATTAGCGCCCATACAGCGAGCGTAGCCGCTTCAAAGCCCTCCAGTCGGTTCCTCCTGCTCATTGATGATATCCCGCAAGAGCGGCCTCTTGCGGACGAGTGCTCCCGAGCCGGCATGGTGAGCAGGTGCATTCTTGAGGGTCGACTCCGCTGCTGGGCCAAAGCTAGCACCAGCACGATCAGGATTTTGCTTCTCGTTTGCAGACGGCGTGCAATCAAAGAGGTATTGCGATTGGCTGGATGCTGCGTTCGCAAGACTTGTCCAAAGACCCCGAGGAGCGCAAAAGCGTCTATGGTCGTCCTTTCCCAAGTCGATGCACCAGCCTCTTCCGTCGAACAGTTCCAAAAGCTTCTGCAGCAGCGGCACCTCTTGCAGCGTCTTTCTGCTTCCTACCATGACGAGCTTTCTCTGTGCTCTTGTCAAGCTGACATTGATGCGTCTGACATCGTTCAGCAGCTCGCCCACGCTCCCCTTGCCCCCTTCCCCAATCGTGTTGTTGCGGACAAATGAGACGAGCACGACCGATTTGTCTCTACCCTGTGCTCGATCGGCCGTCAATATTTCGATTCCCTTTCGGCCCTTCTCCGTGTCTGTCCGCGTGGACGAAGTCGCATTGATGCCGAGAGCGTTGGTCAGAAGCCTGATCTGCTGACGCAGCGGAGTGATGACGCCAATGTCGCCCGCCTCACAGCCTCCTAGGATGAGCGCCGCGCAGATCTGACACACCAGCTCAGCCTCCACCTCGTTCTGCACAAGATCGCCCACTCGAGACTCTGGCGCCGGCAGATGATCCGTGTTCAAAAAGACCACCTTGCATTCTGGCTGGATCACGCGCTGCAGCCAGGT